ACACACACAGACACACACACACACACAGAGATCAGACACACACGCGCACACACACACGAGCGCGCACATGCACACGCACGCACGCACACATGGGTGCACACACACACACACACACAAGCACACACACGCTCAGCCACGCACGCACGCCCGGACGCACGTATACATGCACACACCCTCTCACAGTTGTCTATACATGTGCGCACCTGCTTAGGGGCGATTTCTACATACAGGTGTGGATTGCTGCGAACATGACTACTGACCGGCCGGCAAAGGGCCACGTAAACAATCATAACGTCATGAACACAAAGACAAGCAAAAGCAGGAATCTGCTGCCAAAGGCCTTGACGATCAATCTGAAGCCGAAAGCTGAAGCCTTCAGGTAGGATTTTTATCTGTTGAAATCCTGCAACTCTCGCTCGGCCATCTGCCTCCGACTTTGTCTGGCACATTGTAAGAGACGGACATGGCTTCGGTCCGGGATAAGCCCCCTGAGTCAAAGTGCCTGGTCCAAAACCCAGGCCCAAGGCCGGGACCTGTAACTGTACTCATATCGGTCTGGACAAGAAAATTTCGGCCGGATTCATCGCTAAATTATTTTTGTAATTCTACGACTGCTGGTGCTGCTGCTGGTGCTACTGCTATTACTGATGCTACTACTGCTGCTGTTTCTGCCTCCTCCTTCTCCTCCTCCTCCTCCTCCTCCCACAAGCACAGCAGCAGCAAGACCACCACGACCAACAGCAACAACACCAACAACATCACCAACACCAACCCCTCCACCACCAAGACGAAGACGACGACGACGACGACTACTAATGCTAGTACTACGACTACGACGACGACTACGACAACCATCACTACTGCTCCACCCACAACGAGGACGACGACGACGAATACTACTACTACTACTACTACTACTACTACTACTACTACTACTACTACTACTACTACTACTACTACGACTACGACTACGACTACGACTACTACTACTACTACTACTACTAGTAGTACTACTACGATTACGACTACTACTACTACTACTGCTACTACTACTACTACTACTACTGCTACTACTACTACTACTACTACTACTACTACTACTAGTTCTACTGCTACTACTACCACTACTACTACTACTACTACTACCACTACTACTACTACTACTACTACTACTACTCCTGCTACTACTGCTGCTTATACGACTACGACTTCTACTTCTACTATTACTAATAACTCTTATGGTAGTAGTAGTAGTGGTAGTAGTAGTAGTAGCAGTAGTAGTAGTAGTAGTAGTACTACTACTAGTGGTAGTGGTAGTAGTAGTCGTAGTAGCAGTAGTGGTAGTAGTAGTAGTAGTAGCAGTAGTAGTAGTACTAGTAGTAGTAGTAGTAGTAGTAGTGGCAGCAATGGTAGTGCTGCGGTAGTAGCAGTACTACTACTACTACTACTACTACTACTACTACTACTACTACTACTACTACTACTACTACTACTACTACTACTACTACTACTACTACTACTACTACTAACTACTACTACCCATGCTGTGCTCGTCCACTGTGCCTGCAAGCTCCTGCAAGGGCAAGTACTGAAAACATGCCAAGCAATGACTGCGTTCAGAAAGTTCAAATCGCAGCCTGTTCAATGACAGTCGTAGCATCCTGGCACAGCTTGATGCTGCAGGCAATCGGCAACGCTCGCCACGCGACATCGCGAGAAGCAGTGGTGCCCAAGATGTTCTTGGGTGGGGCCGATGCGGTGCCGGTGCCAAGCCATGAGGACGTGTGACGGCTTGCAGCCGGAAAAGAAGCGAGGTTGAGCCGGACAATTGCTTTCGATAGTGCCACAGATTGATAAAGAATGATCCTCGTCGCCTTCATCACCCTCATCACATGTGCTGCTGCAACTGCTCCTGCTCCTGCCCCTGCTACAACTAGAACAGCAACAGCAACTGCAGCTGCAACCCCCCACCCCTACCCCTACCCCTACCGCTACCCCTACCCCTACCCCTAGCCCTAGCCCTACCCCTACCCCTCCCCCTACTCCTACTACTACTACTACCAGCCCCCCTCCCCCCCCCGTTACTGCTTACGGTCAACCATGTCGTTATTATCCTCCCCCCCCCAGTCCCCAGTAGCCGATTTCACGGGTACGGTAAACACGCCGCTGGCTACTACTACTACTACTACTACTACTACTACTACTACTACTACTACTACTACTACTAGTACGACTACTTCTACTACTATTACTATTACTACTACTGCTACTACTACTGCTACTACTACTACTACTACTACTACTACTATTACTAATGCTACTACTACTACTACTACTACTACTGCTACAGCTACTCAGCTACTCAGCTACTCAGCTACTACAGCTACTACTACTACTACTACTACTACTACTGCTACTGCTACTGCTACTGCTACTACTACTAGCCACCTGGCGCCTTAACCCATCATCATCATCATCAATGAAAATGACAGTTGCCGAAGATGCAGGGGGCCCTTATCTGTGACAGCTGCAGAAGTTGCCGAGGCCCGACTGCCTTAACATCATGCCCCCCAACCCCCCCGGAAGCAACAACGGTGCTAAAGAACGGTGGTTCGCAATGGACTACGACATGACCAAAGTACTTTTAATAAACCGAGTAGACAAATGCTTCCCCCCAAGCAACTTCGAGTTTTCACCGAAAGCACTCGCAAAGGCCAATGTCGAGTTCGCAAAATCCAGAGGTACGTTTGGTGACTATATAAGATGGGTGACATCACGAATGTACTGTACATATTGAGTAGAACGGCTCTTCTGGAGATGTTGTTCGGAGTGTCTGCGTAACAATGTCCCCCGCCCTCCCCCTGCCCCTCCCCCCAAAACGAAGTCCTGCAAATACCGAGTAAGACCGATGTGTGCAAGAAGAGTGTGCAAGAAGTTTCTTCTACTTCTACTACGCAGCAAACGCTCCCAGCGCCTATGCGTGCCGTGAAAAATCGCAAGCAAAACATGTGGTATTTACGGCATTGGTTGTCAGACGCGGATGTTGTCATCCCAACTAGTTTCGTGAGTGCGAATCTTCAGTCAGCAGGTGCAACAACGCGTAGCAACAACCTAAATGATACACCGCGTTTACCCCCCCCACCACCCCCCGCCAGCCCCAAGGCCCCCCCCCCCCAAACCAAGCCAAGCCAAGCCATTTTAAATCAGAACTCAGTATCACCCAAGGCCCTCCTAGGAACCCTTGTGTGGCAGCAAAGCTTGTCTAACAGTAAAGCCTGTGTAGCAGCAAAGCCTTTGTAACAAGAAACCCTGTCTAACAGGAAAGTCTGTGTAGCAGAAGCCCTCCCCAAGACATGGTATGCTCTTCCACTGGTCCTCCGTGAGAAGATCTGGGCCACTTAACCCCTAAACCCAAAATCCTAAGGCAGAGTATGGTCTTCCACTCAGGCTATTCCTGTCGTCAGAAAGCATAACAGACCCCTAAAGGCCAAAATGTACGAACAGGCCAAAGTGTAGGAAATTCACACAGGCGCTGGCGCGCGTTCGCCTACTACTACTACTACTACTACTACTACTACTGCGACTACTGCTACTACTACTACTACTACTATTACTACTACTACTACTACTACTACTACTACTACTACTACTACTACTACTACTACTACTACTACTACTACTACTACTACTACTACTACTACTACTACTACTACTCACTACTATTACTACTGCTACTACTACTGCTACTACTGCTACTACTACTACTACTACTACTACTATGCTACTACTACTACTACTACTACTGCTACTACTACAACAACAACAACTACTACTACAACTGCCTCAGCCCGCTCGCAGACATCGGATCTCGGTGCGCGGACGGATGATAATACTTGACGGATGACAATACTTCTACTACTTCTACGACGACTACTACTACTGCTGCTGCTACTACTACTACGACGACTACTACTATACGGCAGGGTGGAAGCGGTAATTCACTTGCTCATGTTGGCAATCTTGGTTGTTTTGGTGGCGCGCAAGCTCACAGACATCTTGGTAATCTTGCTCGCTGCACCCCAAGATTACCACCCTTTCCGGATCCCCAAAATCCCCATGCGCCAGAAGCTGCACTAGTGTCATTCGGAACGTCAGCATATCCCCACCCTACTACTACTACTACTACTACTACTACTGCTACTACTACTACTACTACTACTACTACTGCTACTACGACTACTACTACTACTACTACTACTGCTGCTGCTGCTACTACTACTACTACTGCTACTGCTACTGCTACTGCTACTGCTACTGCTACTGCTACTACTACTACTACTACTGCCACTACTGCGACAACTACTTCTTCTACTACTTCTTCTACTACCTCCCACTCCCACCGCTACTACTACTCCTGAGGATGCGCACAAACACCAGCAGGATTCTTCGCAGTGTACATGTTGACAAACGAGAATGCGAGCTAACCGCGGCATTCAGACTCGCAGTACTGGTAGTGTACCAGCGACCGCTGGCGCCATCGTCATCAAGAACCTCATCATCATCCTCGTATCACCGCAGCCGCCACCATCACCATTATCACGATAGTCAGGGGTATTTTCCTGGTCGTCGTCATCTGCAGCATCTGTATCACCACCATCGTTGCCAGCACCATAAAGAAAAGTATAATTAGGACCTACATGTGTTGTCCCGATGTGCATTCTGTGATTGGCTTTCAGCTTTCAGCTTAGTGAACTCACGCGGAAAGCTGCGCAGCGGCGCTACTAGTAACTTAGCTGCAAGGCGCGGAAAAGCATGGCGCGCCAATTCCATTTGTGCTTCTTCCTGACAGCGGCCCTCCAAATATTACTGACGGATGCTGCCAGTCTCTCAGAACACGCGGGGAGCTTCACCTCGATTTGGCGAGTTTTGAAAGCAAGTGTTCATTCAATGCGTTGAATGTGGCCGCCAGCACCGGTTTTCTCCCCCACATTGTGTCATTTTGCTGCCCACGCGTTCCTCCCACTTCACACCTACACTACAGAGTGCAGCTTCGCTCCTCCAAAGAAACAAGACTGTTGTTAGTTTTCGTGACCCTGTAGCCGTTATGAGCTTGAAACCCTGTGGCCCAAGAGCGAGAGCACAAAAGCAACGATTGAGGCAGCGCACCTCGGCACCCTAGCGACACTCCTCAACCACGAAGCTGACAATTTAAAAGCCATGGCAGTGACCCTGAAAGCGCAGGACCGAAGTTTATTGTAGTCGGTGTCTGAAGCCTCTCAGCTGATGTGGAACACAATCAGGAGGAGGACGGCGGTCCTGACTATCGGGACGAGATGGAGGCAAGCGAGAAAATGTGTAGAGTGTAGAGTGAGTAAAAGCTTGTGCTCGCTTCTGGCTTCTAGTTTAGAAGTTTAGATTTGGGCTGTAGGAAGTAGCGAGGGGAAAGGATCACAAGAGGGAAGCTAGCAAAACGCCTTGGGGAGTGGTGGCAAAAGCGGAGTCCCCACAAACCGCGAGGTCGGAGCCTTCCGTTCTCGTGAGACAGTATGATGTATATGCATGATTAGTAGCTCGGGCGAGGCAGTAAGTGGGCACACTTGTCGATTGCGTCCACTAGTCGGGGCCCACCCTTCTACGACGGCTTCGAGTGTGTTCTTCTCGGGTTCAGCGTGTCCGGTGAACTTCAGACTGATACCAAGATGATCTGTAATCTGCAGCAGATGATGTTTTTGTTTGATAGGCGGGCAAGGTGACTGCCTGTGCCGTCCAGCAACTGTCAGAATGCCCTTCTCCCAGGAACTCGCTGCCGTACAGGCTGTTGGCGTGGGCACAAGTATGCTGAAAATGGCTGGCGACACATTGAGAGCTTCGACTGCGATGGGAGCCGTCTTCATTCGAAAGCATTCAGCCGGCCTTCGCCTGAGGCTCTCGGGTCGGAGCAGAAGCGGCTCGGCCCGGCTTCAGGGAGGATTACGTGAGATCTTCCGAGCAAACCTCGCGTACTCCGTTCTTACCAGGGCGCTCTCCGAGGTGGCCGAACTGGGTCCCTGGCTGAGTCGAACGGACCTTCCCGGTTCAACTTAAAGGTGCTGACCTGCTGCAGGTCTCTGACATCGGAGCCCGTGGAGTTGCAGGAGCTGTCGATCCATTGATTGCATACACAAATTTAAAAAGGCTGCTTGTTTTGGAAGGCACAGCAGGCGAGCGAAGCCAGTATCGAGATGACGCCCTACGTGCTTCTTGGAGCGGACGGAGCGACGGGTGGAAAGTATTCCTTATAGGTCCGTTCAAAGTTGAGTTGATGGATAACATTCTGCACCACTACCGACACCTCAAGCAGCAGAACCTTGCAAGAGGCGCTGCAACGCATTGTTCGATTCTTTCAATTTGTTGGGAGTTGTGTTGTTTCGTGTCAAGGGTGTCTTGGTTGATTCGGCCGCGCGCGCAGGGCCAGATCGGGCTGGAACTTGAGTTCGCTGACCAAACCAACCCAAAACGAACATGGTCCACACATGCTGGATAGATCTACAGTCTACAATGCAACATAAAGCGAGGCTCTGGACATCCTCCATGCTTTGTGCCCGCAAACCAAAGGGCAACTATTTTGTTACTTTTTTTGGGGTTTTGCGGGGGAGTGGGCGGGGTTGTGGGGGGTGGACAGATGCACAGGGGGGGCGGGGCATCTGGAGGCCCCGAGTGCTGGCGGCGCAGGCCGCGCGAAGGCAATTGGGGTGCACGCCTGTGCATTGCCTGTTGGATCAGAGGACCTAGCACCCTTGTTTAGAAGTGCTTTGATGCCGCAACTCTTTAGGTACATTTGGGCTTCGAAGCAAGAAGATATTCGGGCGGAAAACCATATTCTAGCCTGCACAACAAAAGCCTGCATAAGAGCAGCATACAAGCATTCCCAAACTATAATATGATACATTCACTCATGTATATCTATGTATATATATATATATACATATGTATATATGTATGTATGTATGTATGTATGTATGTATGTATATGTTTATGTACATGTATATGTATACGTATACTTGTAGATATTCATTAATTTACTTATTTTTTGCATTTCCGTCTTTCTATACATATATGGATATCTATAAATAAATAAATAAATATATATATATATATGTATATATATATATATATATATCATACGTATGTATTTTGGAACTTTAAGATGTGTTGTTTCGTGCTGTGCCTTCACACAGGATTTTGCTCTGCAGGCTGCTGCATATGGTGTTGCTTCGTAACCCAAATGTATGCAAAGAGTTGTGGTATTTGGTAAGTGGACATTTAAGCTTAGAACCCCAAGAAAAGCACTTCTAACCCAGTGCGCTGTGTCCTGTGATCCGCGGGACGATGCCGGAGTTGAGAGCTGGGTAGTTTAAGGGAACTGTCTTGTCGAGAGACATATATGAACTGGCCGATGGGACAGTATACTCCAATTGCCTACATGCTGCCGCCCCGCCAGCACGCCCAGACCAATGTTAAAACAATCATCTCTACTCCGATAAACGGCAGGACGAGGGGCAGCTGCCGATCTTCAGGATTCCCAACAATGTACGGTAAGATTCCGTGCGCTTGAAAACTGCGGGGTGGATCGGCCTGGCCTCGGTGCCTTCTTGACATGCTTACATGGTTAAGTACATGAAGATGGAAGTGGGGAGTTTACACCGACCTCCGGCTAAGCACCCGCTTGCAGGGAATCTTGCTCGGGCAAATCGGTCCGAAGGATTTGTTAGTTTCACGGATGTCAGGAGCAGGCAGTAGCCAAAGATCAACTGCATTGAGCACAAGATTGGCTACCGTCAATCCCGCATAGTCTCACCGTCATGGCACCTTCGTTACAGGCTTCAGCCGCAAGTCCGCTTACAGTAAGAAGCCTTGTAATCGCGGCATTACGCAAAGGCAAGTCATTCATGCATCCGCTTGATGTCTGCAATTGATCGTCCGTTTCGGGGGCATGAAGTAGAAGATGTACTTCGTCAGCAATTGAGGCAGACACGGCCGCCACTTGGGCGTATGGAGGGGGGCTTGGATCCCGAGGCCGGCACGCCAACAGAGAAACTTGAGAAGTTGGCGTGGCAATGCGTGGCAGTCGCCAGGAGAAGCGATTGCAATCCCTGCTGGAAATGCGCACGCAAGCTGCTACAGGTAGATGATGTGCCCAAGACGGACGAGTTAGAAAGTGCAGTACATCTGCAGAGCAAAGATTTGCAGAAAAGCTGGTTTTGAGAGTCTTGGCTTGGCGATATGGTTTTGAGAGGTCGGACCATGCACAACATGTGAGCGCCACCCCTCACCAAAATCCAAGTGGAAAGACAGCCCGACTTTGATAGCTCAACATCCGCAATACTAAGTGATCGCATTCCCGGTGGTTACCTTGTCGCGGTTTCCTGTCGACATTCGTACAACGCTGGCACAGACAGACTTGTATGGTCAGATACTGATAGTTGTTTTTGGCCCCGCTGTGCATGCCACGATCTACCGTACCTCAGTGCTGTGATTGGGCCGATGGGTTCATCTGTCGCGGTATGGGTGAGGGCTGCTAAGTTTGCATGCAGACACTAGTCGCTGTCACACCGAAGCTGTGCCCCGCAACAGGTGCGTGCGCACTAGCATGCACCAGCACGGGGGGGGGGGGGGAATACGGAGAGTGAGCCCGGAAAGAGTGGTTTAGTGGCAAGTCGAGATGGTGAAATCGATGTTTGTTGTGCTATTCGTGGACTTATCTGGGATGAAATCGGGGGTTTTCATCCTTTGCTGGGAGTGCCAAGCGAGACTCGCAACCGTTTGAACGGCCTTGTTTTGGACCATGACTACATGCTTGAAGCCATGAAAATGGCTTCCGGAAGAAGCGATGCCTCAGACAAAGGACGAATCTGCACGTCATGCCAACCTCGTGTCTGTGTGTTGTCTTCACGAGAAACTTGGGAATCCAAGGCATGCCGACGGTCGCCAAGTTGGCTCATGCGGCCTTCGGTGCATGTCATGTGCCAGAATGATTTAATGATTAAGTTAATCTCATTATCACGAGATTAGGCCACTTCTGCAGCTTGGGTGCCATGTGCCGCAGTGCGCTCGTTCCATGTCGTGCTTCACAGATGCTGCCTTGAACCTACTAGCCAGGGTAGTGAGCCTTTGCATGTTTTGTGGACAGAGCTGGCAGCTCGACACACAAGCAGTGTGTGAGTGCGTCTAGTGTTGCGTGCATCAAGTGTACTTTCTTACATCTAGTTCAGCATATGTGTCGAAGGCGTGCAAAAGCATTTGCTGGCCTGTGTTTCTGCCCCGGGGCGTGTGGCATTGTGTCCCATGGCTTCAAAACATGGCTGCAGCCTGCCGCAGCTGCGGTAGCAAGACGAAGGCTTCGGGGTATCAATCATCCGTCTTCTGACCTTCGCCCAACGAACGGTCAATCATTACACACACACACACACACACACACACACACACACCTTTTCGTCTCGTGCAGCCCATCATAGATATTGGCGGGGAATCCCTTTCAACCGTTTGCGGAGCTTGTTTTGACGCCCTCCTAAAGTTCCACTTGGCAAGCTCGACTTTGATTCCTTCTTTTGCGACTCAGCTTGTTTGTCCTTGCCGCTTGTTGTCTTGGAGGCCTCCCTTTTGTTATTGATCATCATTCTTCGGCAGTTGTCCTGCTGCAACGAGCTCAGCAACTGGAAAGCCTGCTGGAAGCCTGCTCTAGCTGCCGTTGTGTGGTTTGCGCGGAGGCGCGGCAAGTGAGGATGAAACTTTGGCTGAAAGCTATGACAGATCTGGCAAGTGTGCAGATGCTCAGACAGGTTCGTCCAGTCCCTAGCTGTGACAGGCTGAACTTTGAACACCACACCCTTTTCGCTCTCGTGGCGGTGTATTTGCTTAAGACATTGAAGACTCATGAGGTCTTGCCGAGAAGCTCGAAGCCAGAGGTCGCCTGTGACTCGCACCTACATGCGTGGGTAAGTTTTGGAGTTGCCGCAGGGTTCTAAGTAGAGTGACACCCGCGTCGGCTCACCGCGGGAGAAGTGCCGACTTGAAGACGAGAGACTGCACGGTACAAGGCCATGGGGGCATGGGGAGCTCCGGGGAGGGGCCTACGGAGGGCCTTTGGGGCCTATGCCGTGGGCATCCGTGGGCGGAAGAGGGTTCACTTGCAGAGAGACATTTGAGAAACAATGCCACAGCTCACCCCGAGTGTTCGGAGTCACCGTACAAGCGTGCTTCAAAGAGTCTTTGCTTGACCTTGCTCAAGCACGATCTAGGTATGAATGCATGCCACCTGTTCGTTTGTGTGCATGTGTCCATGATTCACAGCATTTGCAGGCACTGGCCTCACACTCAGCCCCTAAAGGACGGCACTTTTAGTTGTCACTGGCATTCCCGTGTCGGATCGCGGTGCATCGGAGGAGGCTCATTTGCATGAAGCCGTGAGGCCTGTTCCCAAAGGTCGGGAGAGTTGTTCATGCTACGACGAACCATCTTTTAATCCAGTACCGAGTGCCGAGCAATTCTTCAGGATGGAGCAAGGCAAAGGCGAGCGACCCCTACATATTAGTTGTTTGCGTATAGACTGTGACCTGTTCCTGGGCCCCTTGACCACCAAGGTCAATCCTTCAGCAGGAAATGCAGGAATTAGAGCTCCTGTCCGAGTTTGAAGCCCAGAGTTGGGTGTCATATGGATCGACTCTCCCGCTTCAAGCAGCCAGGTTGTATCAGCAACGCCTGGGCATGCTGGAGGAGAGCCAGTTCGACAGCTAGAGCTCAGCAAAACCAGTCCACGTTCAAAGGACCTACAGAAGGGTCTGCGAATGGGGCTTGGAAGACACCTGCCTTCGTCGAATGTCGTGGCCCCGACAGTGTGCTCCTGTCAGGCCTGTGGTTGCGAACGATTGCAAGATCTGTGGCCGACCTGGCTCAAGCAAGCATTGCTCTCGAGCGGATCAATGTCCTATTATGAGGATAAGCTGTACCATGTTTGAGTGACTTGGAGCCGGGAGAATGTTCGACCTGTCACATCTCGCTGGCAAGACTTCTGGCAAGCCCGGTCCCACTGCTCTGCAGTCGCCCGGCTGTGAACGGGCGTCATACTCGCCGGAAATCTTAATGTTTGTTTACCCGAAGAGTCATGAAACCCTTGCTGCAGGAGAACTTCTCTGAAAGTAAAGCTGCAGGCATCATCGCCAAGCGTTCCTCCACGAGGAGAACTCGGCATTGGAGATCGCTGCCATTGCTTCTAAAGGCACCGGCCTCAGTGCCTATCACCGTCAGTTTTCGTTGTCCTTGAGCTTATTGTACACGATATCGCGTGCGCCTAGGAGTTGGTGTGAGGCCGCGGGTGTCGAGTATCTGCATTAACTCTCACTCTCTCTCTCTCTCTCTCTCTCTCTCTCTATCCCGCTCTTACTCACTCACTCCTTTCGCTACCCTGCACGATCAGTATGTGCGGGCGTTGGCTTTGACAGGGCGTTGGCAGCCGTCGAGAGTGGCTGCTGCCTGCTCGCTGAGTCCCCGGTTGCTGTGCTGCAGCTTCAAAACAGCAAGACGGAACTGCCTGCTTGCCAGCAGTGCCTGTGCCCTTTGAGCACCACAATGTGTGCAGTCGTCTGCCAGTGTGGAGATCAGTTTTGCAGCACTGCGTGCTACGAGATGGCCAAGCAGCAGGGCCATGAAAGACTTTGCCCGGCACTGCTGGGATCGCAAGAAGCGTCGGCAATGGAGTCTTTGATTCACTTGCTCAGAGATCTGCCCAATGTCGGGGAGGCTTTTCGCCTCGCGGTGAAATTGCTCGCTAGAGCAATCACAGATCTACAGCTATTGGAACTCTCCTCCGGTTTGGCTGGAGCACCCTGGTGGGAGACTGCTGGCATAAGCGACCATTTAATTCAAGAAGCTCGGGATGTCACCCAAGTTGCCTTTACATTGCTCCAAGCCGTCCTGACTGACTTGCCCGCTGAATTTACAGCAGACGATTTGGGTTTCCTTGTTGGTCGGCTTCGGATGCGGCTGGTTTTGAATTGGCCCATGCTTGCTGCTTGTACATGTCCTTTCTCTGGCTCGAAACAGATGCGGCCCAGGAATGCAGTCGAGGTGCTTGTGCCAGTGGAGGACGGTTCGGAATCACCTGATTTTATTTTGAGCAGGCAGTTTTGCAGTGCCTTCAAACCTGTCACATGTCTGGTGTGCATAATGTATATGCGGTACCCCGTCGCATCAACTCGCAGATTTTGGGCCCGTGTCGGCTCGATGCGAGATGTTTTAGATCACTTGTTTTGCATGGTTTTGAATGATACACGAAGCTCAGAAGATGAGTTGCCTCTTTCCCATGTTTCAGTTCCGAATCTTTTACAGCTACACATCAGAAGCCGAGCAAGCGGGGCTGCGAAGCGAATTCAGCCACAACTGCATCATACTGCATCTCACGGGAAGCGCTCACCGAATCTCATCGTGAATTCATACTTCCGGAAAAGGGTCGAGGACCCAGTCCGACAGCAAAAATTCGCGAATCGCTTTGGCCGTCTTTGCCACATCTTCGGAGCAAAACAAATTTCCAACCATTTCCAACCAAGTTTCAAGAACCCTGTCGCACTTTTAGGTGTGGTGCGAGCATGAAGCGAAGGAAGGCCTTTCGGATCGAGCAGGTGCTTTGCTCAGATGGCTCAGCTTACCGAGCTCTTCCCTTGGAGCAAGAAGATTGAAGAGGCGCTGGCAGAATCCAGAGAAGAAGCTTCTCGCCACGTTGCACCAGCATCAATTGTCGCGTCTAAAATCTAAAACTCACTGTGGCCGGCTGGTGTCCGGTGTTGCTGGAAACTGCAAGCAGGACCAGCTGCTAGCGCCAGATTTGTGTGGAGCAGCTGCGGTGGAGGGGCTGGCCTTGTATTTCGTGGCTTCTGCCGTGCGGCATGGCAGGCAAAGACTTTTCGTAGGTCGTAGGCGTGCCCCATGCAAGCATAGAGCACACGGACTTTTCCAAAGCAAGGAACCACAGCTGCCATCCTAATTGCGCAGGCCTGAGACACACATCGATGATCTTCGAAACCATGATGGGCAGTTGTGCGAGTGAGCATGCAGGAGGTCATCATGCATCTGCGAGCAGTCATCTGCGTGCTCTGTCGGTAGCGGTCAAGTGGCCAGCTCCCACACACACATAACATCGAAGAGATTTGCCTGCGCAGTTTGTCCGGGCTAGAGACGCGCATCACCCGATGCTTTATGTTTCGCACAAGTGTCACACGTGTTCATGCGTCCGCTGCGGATTGTGCATTGGCATGAAGTGATACTAGTGTGGCATGGGCCAAGGTGCGTTGCAGTCATGCTTTGCAAGCCCTGGTCTGCGGGGTTGGGCGGTCTTGCAAGCTTTAAGACCCATCGACGAAGGGGAGGAGGCGAGATACTTCTTTTGAAGATATTAATAGCTCGCGGAAGCTTTTGCATAGCTGCCGCAGGTCACAATTGCCTACCTGGCCGCGCTGCTGCATCTCTGCCATGCTTGTGAACACACTTGACAATGTGAGTTGTTAGTGCATCTAAGGAAGACGGACCGGAGACATGTGAGCGCTTGTTCGAACAGTGGCGGTTTCACTGCAGCTGCGACTACTGCGCATCTCGAGCAGAAGGGAAAATCGGCCATGTGGGGCGCAGCTTGTGTGATTTGTTTGCCCGCATGCTCAGAAGATCTCAGAAGAAAGAACCGGGACGAATTACAGATGTCACAGCGACAGCCCGAACACAAGCAGTGGACATCAGTGGAATAGCACGAAAAAGCAGACACGCTGCGACCACAGCTCGACGAGACGGAGGAGAAAGAGCAAGGCGGAAACGTCACAGGCCGCAGGCAGCAGAGTCCTTGTAAGTCCTTGTGCTGAGCCGACCGCGCTCTGCAGACGGACTGCTTTACTCTGCACTGTGCTGTGGGGCTTTGGCTACCTATATGCCAAAGAACTAAACAAAATCGCCTTCAGTCGTGAAGGCTTGCCTTCCCTTGCCGGTCATTTTCAACCTTCCTTTGTGGCCTGCTTCTTGTGTGTTTTGCACCTCTTTCCAGCTGTCGCAAAGTTTTTGTGTGCGTTTTGGTTTCAGATTGTGCTGAAACATCTCAGCCTGCTGACACCTGCTGATCCTAGCCTGCGAATGCTCGGCGCCCACAGCCGCGGTACAAGTAGCGTCAAACCGCGAACGCTCGGCACGGTAGCGTCAATGCTCGGCGCCCACAGCCTTCCCCTGCATGCCCGTCGCCCCGTCCACAGCAGCATCGCCCTGCGAACGCTCGACATCCACAGCCTTTGACAAGCCCCGCGTGGCAGCGCCTCGCCCCCACAGCCTTCCGCAGTCCCGTTCGCATCAACGTGTGGACGGTTTCTCGCGCCCTCGGCGACAGCCAGCAAGAACCCCACCACTTGGCTTCTGCAGAACAAGCCGTTTTCTGCAAGTCATCATAACCAACCAAACATCGGCCCGAGCGAAGTCCGAACGAAGAACTCGGACAATCAGTGGATTATGTGCTTGGGCGCAGGAAGTTGGTGGTCGGTTTGCTTGAACCACCGGCTCAATTTTTAGTTGCTCAGTAACAGTCTGCACTTGGCACAGCTTCGCACTGAAGGTTCGGGCACTTCAGCAGAGCATGCCTCCACTCTCCGAACAAGTTTTGCTCGGAGTTTTGGGCTAAGTCTGAGATGGGAGGTTTCGAGCCAGCAAGCAGTGGGCATATTTTGGCATGCCTCGGAGGTGCCGCCTGCTGCGGTGACGGATGAGGCCACCAGCAGAAGAAAGCACCACTTTTTGCATTGCTGAATCAATGCGAGGACTACTCCGACGAAGTAAGTGAATCGGCAGCAGGCCCGGATTCATGACAAGAAGCGTCAGCCTCGCTGAGACTCTTCTGACGTCGCTTCTGAAAATCCGTTTCGCAGTACTTGCCTGTTCCCTGTGCACAATTTACATCGCGCGTAGGTTCGGCCATGATCCAGAGCAGAAGTTGAATGTGTTTGTGCCTGTTTCGTCTCCTATCATCTTCCAGATGTTGCATGAACCGCGGCTGGGTGTGGCATGTCTCTAGGCCGTCTTAGACGGGTAGTTTCCGGGCTACAGGCCAGGTCACATGCAGCCACGATATATATCGGAACCTCCAGAAAAGCAGTTGTGTTTGAACAGCGAGAGCTGACGACCTTGCTTGGCAAAGGCACGAATGCTTCTTGCAGAACTTCCCCACACGGCCCGTTTTAGGCTTGTGGTCTCAGTTTCCGGGAGTCCCGGAAATGTGCGGGAGGTAACAAGATGCCCGGCCACAGAGACGGATTTCTTGGATTGAGCGCATTGGCTTGAGGGTGCACGGGGCCGCCTCTGCGAGCTCCGAGCACGATTTCTGGGGGTCTCCAGGTCAAATTGAAGAACTGCTTGCAACAGAACCACAGATCATATTTCCGTTGTTTTGGCAGCCGCGCCGCCGCACGAGACCGGTTGCGGCGAAAAGGCCGCAGCGAACAGCTTGCATAAACTTGCATATAGCAGATCGTAGAAGGTAGCAAGGGTTGGACCGTCGAGAAGGCACGGATACTTGAAGCCGCCGACATCGAGACGCTTCCATGAGCCATACGACGCAGAAGAGGGACGCTTTCACATGGTCGGACTGGGCACGACACGCCGTTACGCAACTTACGGCCTTCAGTCGGGTCTGCGGTCATGAGCTCGGTGAAGGTCCAGTGAAAAGCACGAAAGCTGTTCCTGGAGCTTTCGGGAGATTCTCTGTTATCAATCCAGCTTTGGGGCTGCCGTTTCGATAAGTTTATCGGCAAAGGCATGTACGGTCGTGCCCCCCACTGCCCATCCAAACTCAGCCTTTGCTATTCACTTGAGACCAATATATGTCGAGAAGAAAACGGGCACGGCGGTGACATGCTTGGGCAAGGAGTTAAGTGCACAGGTGTGTGACAGAGTTTGTTGTTCCTTTCTCCATTTTCTTGTTGCGCCCAAGCAGTAAAGGGGCAGAAAGGAACAACATACTCTGTCACACAACTGCGCACTTGAGTCCCTGGCCAAGCACATGTCTCACCGACATGCCTTTCTCTTCTCGACATGTATTGGTCTCAAGTGAATGCGACAGGGATATAAAGGGTGGGTTCAGAAGCCACCGGTCCCTGCTGAAAACGTCTGGCTGCGCTGTGTGTCAAGCTTGAAGAATCCATCTGCTAACAGACCAGGAAGCACTTCGACGGCGACTGCCATCGACGATTTCTTGGTATCCAAAGCAGCAGAGACCTTAACTCACTAAAGATTATTGTGTACACGAGCGGCTGTTTTCGCGTAGTTCGCATCAGGTGATTCCACAGGAGTTGGGGGCTGAATGCTTGATGTAGGTAATGCACGTCATCGTATCATGGGTTTTCGCGAGTTTCCAGTTGCATGCCAAGACCCCCCGCGACGCACATCGGACTGATGCCACTGCCGGAGGCCAAGGCCAAATCCCAGCCAATCCCAGCCCGGTGAGCTCGAACAGCAACTGGCCGAGGCGAAACCACCGGTCATCAGCCCCAGCTCCAACATCCCAGGCACCTGTTCCGGAGCAACGCCTCGGGCCTGGAGCATCACGACTAGTGCGGGTGCCGTGCGCACGCGAGGTTGCGATGCCCACCGTACTTCTGGTGGTTGTTGCAGCCTTAAATGGCCGTATGGATCTGGAAGCCAACCTGACGGCTGCGGCAACGGCTGCTTCAAGAGTTCGCTTGACCTAGAAGTGTAGCAGAGTAATTAAAAAGAAGATTCCACGACGTAGCACCACACAGCCCTACCGCATCTGCTCAATCAGCGCAAGACTGCAGCTGCACTTGTCTCCGATGGAGAGCTCGCGTGTCCTCCTCTGCTGCCAAGACCAGCGTTTAGTCTTCAATCGTGGGGTGGTGGCCGCTTCGGGCACACGGCTGGACCAGGACACTGCTTTTAGCACTGAGCGGTGTGGTTCTCGAGGTTGCGTAGAGTTATACGGGATGTTATTTGGTAGCTGGCACGCGGTGCATGAGGAAGTGTTAAGGGAAGCTGCTTTGTCTTTTGCACCCAAGTGGTCAAGGTGGCGCAGCAATACGCAGATCATGCTCCACCTGCCTGGCAACAGCAGCGAATCAAGCGGGATGGTCAGCATGTTCACATGACGTTCCTCAGCAAAGGCGATCTGCAGCTCTTAATGCAGAGCGGTATGGTGCACGTGCAGGCTGAGGTGTGGGAGGAGGCTGGAGCCACGGCACCCGATCCAACAGATATCTTGGCGGTCTCTAACTCGATTGCCCTGGTCCTCGCGAAGTTGCCACGGTGCTGGGACTGGGTTGACGTTGGGACCGGCTTCTGCAAGGATGACTGTGGGGAGTCAGTGTTCCGTGTTGTGCTTTGGCCAGCTGCTGCGGCTGTTCGAAAGAAGTTAGGCTTGCCAGCAAAGGATTTCCATATTACCTTGGGCTTTCAAGGTAGCGATGTCCACTCAAAGGCCAAAGGACTCACATCCCTGCGAGCAGCTCCAAGCAACGCCGCATCACAGCGCTTAACGACCGAGGCATTTCTTCTGTCATCTGCAATTTCTGCTGATGCGTTTCCACTCTACCAGGACAGCATGGAGCAAGTTACATCTGCAGCATTGCTGGGTTCAGGTGAAAATGAAGCCTCAGAGGTCGACGCATTGAGAGTGGCGTGCTTGTTCTACGGACGAGTAAAGAGATTCGATCAAGTTCTAGCATCGTCGGACCGTTTGCTCCAGCTCCAAAGTGGAGACGAAACGGGCTGTCGAAGCCGTGCTTTTGCTTTGGTCATGCTGTCCCGCTACGAAGAAGCAGTTTCTGCTCTTGAGTTGGCAAGGAGTCAACTCCACACGTTGCCTCCCGAACAGCATGCAGTCGAGCACGCGCGTGTATTGAAAGCACTCTCGCACTGTCAGAAGAAGCTGGGTGCTGGCTACCCAGGTAGCGCGACTGGTCTGAAACACTGTCTTGCAGAAGGTGTCGGCAAGGCAAATTACCCAAAGACACCGCATCTTCCCTTCTCTCCGGGCATAAATCCCGACGACACACGCGTCTCAGACTGCCAAAATCTTCTGTCACGCGAGGTCGTCATAACAGAGAAGTTGGATGGTGGCAATTGTTGCATCAAGGCAGATGTCGAAAGCCAGCGGCTGCAGGTATTTGGCCGGACTCATGCACAGCCAGCCGAGCACGCATCCTTTTCGGCAGTGAAAGAGCTGGCGGCATGTATCGAGTATGATGAACTGGGGGATGTGGAGATCTTTGGAGAGAATATGCAAGCTGTACACAGCATCGAGTACGGCAGTCTCACGAACTACTTCTATGCTGCCGGGACATGCATTGGAAATGATCGTGCTTGGTTATTCGAGTAGGCATTTCAACTTTGGAGTTCCAACTCGTCGAGGTCTTCGCGGCGCGCAGAAGTGGGGACTGGCTGTGTTGGGACGAAACTCGAGACCTGGCCAAGAGGCTTGGTCTGGCGACAGTGCTTTGGACTAAATGGAACTTGCTTGTATCCCCGGTCCTACTCCCATCATGCAGTGCTGCATAAGATTGGTCAAGAGTAGGAGCTGCCGAACGACGCCGAAACTTGCTAGTTCCCTATGGCCTACCGGCTCTCGTAGCTGACATCCTTATTGGGATCCAATGCTCTGGTAGGCTAGTGACATCCAATGGCATGAAGTCAGGTGCCTGAGGTTTTCCGTGGTGCTCTTTCTGAGGGAGAACTTCAAGGCTCCCTGGAGCAATGGCAGATGGAGCCGTCAGCGCTAGATGCCAAAAAGACTCCGGAAGGCGTGGCCATCTTATGTCGTTGTTCACTCTAGCTGCTAGACTCTAGCTTCCCACCCCGGTGACCAGTTTGTTCTGCTGCTTGTTCTGCGTCAACGCTTCCTCAGCCCGCAAGAGCGATTTCCGTGGGAAGGGTTCCGAGTGCTCCAGTTGTAATAATGTTGTAATGCAACGGAGGAAATCCAGCCAGGAATGCCAAATTCTCGAAGAACCCAGTCCTTGTACTGAAAGCTGTTGGACCATATCTACCAGGCCTGATGCAATGTTGACATGCTTGTAAAGCGACTGAGTAGGGAAACTGAACGCGATGAATCTCAAGTCCCGATGAATTTTTACAACGGAGGTGGGCACGCCGCATAATTTATTACCTTGTGTTTCTCATTCTTGCTGGCTTGGACAACAGATGTTTGGCAGGTTTTGTGGTTAGACATGCAGCTGCAATTCCCGGCGGGTCGTTTGCTGAATGTATCGGGAAGTTCGTCCGGGCAAACCATATCCAGACAGACGAGTCGTGGAAACGGACTTGGAAGAAGGCTTGCCTCGGCAAAGAGATGCCGCATCAAGTAAAGGCAGTTCCTAGTCGCGGCTGACAAGTTCGTGAGCTGAACATGCGAAAACACGCATGTTGTACAGCTGAAGAGCGGCAACGTGCTTAGCAGGGCGGTCTTGTACAGTGTACAGATGATACCGGCTCAAACGAGCATGGTGGCACCAGATTTTGGATCGATCTGCGTTCATGATGCGTCCCGGACCGTACCAAGATTGAAAGACTAAAGACTCTTAAGCTTCGCGTGGTGAGAGGCTGCACATCGTGGAAGCCTTCATGTTGATTTGCGGCCGTTGGGCGGTTAGAGCATGCATCTACTGCTTGCGAACACTTTTTGCTAGGTTCATCAGCCCGAATCTGCATGCTAAGTCGTCCAGGTTCAAGCAGACGGCGACATTTGCTTGTACACTGCGTTTGCAACTGAGCCTTTGCATTGAACTAGTAACTAACGCGCGAGGGACACAAAACTTCGTCGAGGTCTGGAGATCTGGCATTGGCATTCCCGTCCGGGCATAAACAGGACACGGTGTTCATCGCGCAGTGCGTGCAGTACTGTCCGAAAGCTGGTTGGCATTCTTTGCATCGACCCAGCGCAGGCAATTGTGCAAATGACTGTGTCGCCAATGCAGGCAACTTTGCCAGACGGTGGTGTCATGCTTCGTCTAGCATTGGTGCAGATAGCTTCGAGCAAGTGACACCTCGCAGGACGAGTACGTCGTCGCGACAATGACCTAGTGTGTTATGCTGTGCCTCCGAGTAGTGCCAAGCTGCCTGCGCCAAGGACTGTGGATTCGACAGGGGTTATGAGGGTACACCGACTTTTTGTGCGCCCGCGACGCGGCCCACAAGAACAGAGGCGTTAAGCTATTGTCGCTGTGCTTCGGTAGCTGCAGCAGATCGTGGTAGAGTGAATCGGCCGTGTCCGTGTGCTTCATACGCAGGCGAAGGGTCACCAATCCGGATGAAGAGAAGTGCGAACCTGCTGTCACTTCCTTGCATCGAAATGCAATCAGCCAGAGCGTGGTTCTGAAATGTTCCTCAGAGCTTCTTCCCTGCTCAAAGCATATCGCTGCATCCTCAAATCCTCGCAGACACTGCCATGGTGGTCAGTCCGGCTTGGCCTGCAGAGATCTTGATGCCCAATGCCGCCTCTTGCATCAATGCACAGCTTTTTGACCCGTGTTCTCAGAAGGCCTGGCAGGAAGCTCTGCCCACTTGCACCCAGCCCAGGTGCAAAGTCCGGACAGAGCACAAGACCCAGTAACACCTCGGCAGCGGAAGCAGGCAGTGGAGGGCGCGTTGAGTTTAGCCCATCGACGGGTCTGACGCACCTTCCTTTTGCAGTCGATTTATGCGTCGTCTTTGTCAATGCATGGCGCTCTCGTGGCCGACAAGAAGAACCCTATGGCGCCTCGTTCGCAGACACAGTGCGAGGATGCTTACGAAGAAAGCAAAGAACCCCTGATCAGACTCCGAGATCGCAAGACAAACGGCACATGCTTGACATTCCTTGCCATCGGTAGTATCATGAGAAGCTTGTAGCTGCCTGCCCGGCAATCGATGGAGGACCCATGCCGGCAAATGCAGGTAAACGGCGACATTGAGAAGGCCAGCTGTCTGGCTGCAATTGCTAGCTCTTAGCAGTTCCCACATATAGAAGCGATTCTCCGCATCTCCCATCTGTCCCAGTTTTTCGGGTGGGGTTCTGCATTTCCCGTGAAGGCAAGATCGGCTCAGGAGGCCCGGGGACACTTCAACATGCCGAGCCCTCGTGACTGCAAGGCGCGGAACCTGACGAGCGACATGCCGAGCACCTGACTGTTTGCAAATGCCCCGAATGAGGCAACCATGCTGCAAGGCACCTTGGCAGTGTCAAGGACGCGTGGCCCCGCAACTTGTTCTTTTGACGGCCGCTGTCAAACCTCTGCTCAGCAATCTTTCCCAGGTAGCGGAACTGTCCAAGTGACTGATGGGTCCCCGTTACTTGTGCAGCAGTCAGCTCTACAGCTACGCAGAAATATCGTAAACCGCGAAATTCACATGAGGCGAAAAGGTTATGGATCGCCCAAGAAGACCACAACTGTGCAATTCTTCATTGACACTGTCCGAGGCTCAGCGCGTAACACATCGCATTGTGCAGTTTCATGCAAACTCCACAAGCAAGACAACTTTACACTTCTGAGGACGAACGTCCTGTGCAGCTTGGCTGATACTTTGTCCCACGCTTGGCACCCGTTGTCTTGATGACGTCGACGTACCTCCAAGGCAGGCACAAGCGCATCGCCGCTTAGTTGCACGCTCCAATGCACAACACATGGTGGCACCCTTCAGCTGCACGGGCAGGTTGATTGATGGACATACACAGGTACATGAAACACAAACACAGGAAATACATATACACATACATATACATACACACACACATAAATATATATATATATATATATATATATATATATACACACTTTTATATGCATATATATATATATATATATGCATACATACATACAGATGCACACCTCTGTGTGTGTGTGCATGTGGCAACTTCTCGTTTCCCCAGAGGCGTCGACCTGAAAACCAAGAACGAGTACTGGACGCAGAGCTCCAACATGAGCTCATTGGATACCCGTGGTGAGCTCATTCGACACAAGGACCGTGCCATCGCCGTCGCGTTGTGGTTTTCTGCCAGGGATAAGGCGGGTTGAAAGCCCAAAGCCAGGATGCACGAGACTCGTGGACCCAGCTCAGCTGCAGCGAACTCTCCTTAGCGTGAGCCACCTCCCATCAAGTCGCTACAATGCCACAACAATCACGCGTCCCACCTGCATGTTCTGACAGTGTCTGAGGCACGGAAGCAATGCGACATGCAGTCACAAGTGCTCGGCGGATCTTCGAAGCCTTCGACGCTCGAGTGCTTACTTGTAGGAGTTCAGGATGTGGATGTTTCTGCGCAGCCGTACAGGGAAGAGGACCTCCTACTTGCAGGAATAGGCAGAATGTGCATCATACCTTTGAACAAGACCCCCACCCCCTTCCCCCTCCAGGGGCACCCATTACAAGGTCTCGGCATGTGCCCAGACTCGTGGCGCGGGCTGGCTTGTCACCGCGCAACTACTCTTTGCAAGAAATCAGGCGGCGATCTTGCATCAGATTTTCCTTTGAAGGTCTTTTACCTCGACAGGTTGCCACTCGGCCATCGCGAGCACAAGGCCAATGAGATGGCCACTTCAGAAGAGAGCCAGCGGCTCACCACTGCAAGTCTGAAGAGCTTTTGGTCCTTGGCTACGCGATACAACAAACCAAGGCCCGCTAAGTGCACGCGGGCCACGGCCAACCAAGTCGATGAGCCCTCGGAGCACTATGGAAGCGTTTCGCTCCTCGGATGGCAGCGAACGAAGCTTGCTGTTGCTTTTTGGCTGGAACACTCAGAGTCAATAGCATGTTTCGAGGTGACAGTACCAACGATGCATCAAGGCGAGGGAACAGTCAGTTCACTGATCTCAGGACCCCACATTCACTTTCTGGCACAGACATGGGTAAGACATGAGTGGCTTCAGAGACATCAGAGTTCGCGCCAGGAGCTTTGAGATGCATGCGGCTGCAAAGTCGCCACGGCGCAGTGAAATGTCGCTTGTCAGAAGACTTGTAAAAAGCAAGCTGCGTGATCTCCGGGGTGATGCAACAGACTCGAACCTGCAGAAGTGTGACTAAGGCATGATGTTGCGACCACATATTGGGCGAACAGCACGACAGAAATATCACGGAAGAATGCGCAGCGACAGCAGAGCCCGAGACCCAGAATTGTTGATTTTGTTGACGCACATCGGGGAAGGATTGCCCCAGGCCCCGAATTGCATGCGGGGTTTGCAGTTTCCAGTAGATGCGGACATATGGTGACATATGTAGATGCTACAAACTCGGCATTGATTCGCTGGAAGAGACTGTTGAGGCGTGTGTGTGTGTGTGTGTAGATCATGTTCAAAAATCAGTGGCTCTTGGCCAAAACTGTTTCTTCCTTTCCGTTTTCCTTCACAAAGCGGATGACACTGCACATGATGTCGTTCAGTCGCCCAGCCCTCGCATGATTCAGAGGTTGTTCGAAGCACGCGAGTGCTCAAAGTGCCTTGAAGGATCCGCCTTGAGCAGTGCTGTTGCTGACAGGAATGCACAGCCTACTACATGGATTTACTGTAGCTCACCGAAGCAGCGGCATCCCCTTACGATCAAGGGCTCGAGGTTTGGTTTGACCCACACCAGCCCTTCGCAGCCTTACAGTTACGTAATGCAATATATCGACGTCAACCTGCGCCGTGCCGAAGTTGATGCGCGCTGACATGCTTCTATCTCTGGCGGTGGCTTGTAAACCCAGCCACGTTGGCATATATCCCATGTAGATCATGTGAATGAATCTGTCCAGAAGGGGCCCTGCCAAGAGTCATCCAGATACACCGACGAATGTAGGGTCACTGGTTTTGGGTGAGCCGTGGGTGCTCCCGTCTGTGGCTACGGCTGGTAGCACCCAGCCCCAGTGGTAGCCCCGCCCGAGAGCTAGGCCGCTCATACAGCGACGAGTGCAGGGTCACAGCCTTGCAGTGCACAGGGAGTTCCTCCCCCGAAGAAGCCGAACCATTCGCCGTTTACATCTGCCTTTCGAGTGCATGCTAACGTATGGGAACGAATCCAAGAGCCAAGCCGGGATGAACGGCGTCGCAGGTTCCGACAATCAGCAGCCCAGGACCAAATCCAGACACAAACACAGCATCGAGAGATACACACAGGCGCCTGTGTTGGGGAAACGTGTTGACAGGGCCGCATATCAAGACATAGTTTCGTCTTTCGCAAGTAGAAAGATTCGCCTTGAATGGGAGGACTTTCCACGCAGCAAGAACAGACCAGGGTTGCAAAAACTCGAGAAACATTGAGGAGACATGGGAAGACTCTGTTACATTTTGTTTCGTTTCCTTGTGCGTGAAAGCAGCGCTTTAGTTAAACATGTGGTCCCGCAGTTGTGTAAGTCTTAAGTTGTCTGCACTCTAAATTAACTAGTTGGTGTGTACCTTTGCCATACTTATCGGGGGAGACTCTTGATCATGTACAGGGCCACAGTGATGCAGAATCTACAGCCCCGGTTCTGGTTAACTGGCAGCTAGCCTGTTGTTCCTTCGGCCGCGATGCCGAGCTCATCCCTTCACAATGATTTGGTCGAGCAGCTCTGGTGGGACAAGATTGGTCCGCTCCGGGGATGGTGCCTCGAGCACGAGCACCGGTAGCCACGAAACAAGCGCATCGAACAGAATAACTGTTGAACTGGTATTAGCCGGTGTGACATGCTATTGACTACAGCGTCAGCGTTTCCCACATCATTTCACCTCTCGCTGCGTCGGCTGCATGTCGTGCTCGTAGTGTGAGAAGCTTAACTGACGTTTTGGGAGGGGCCTCGTATAGTCGGTCGTCAGGGATTGTCAGGCAAGCGTCGATGATGTGGTGAAATGCGGTAGATGATACGTCCACCCGACGGAATGTATATACATGTACCGTTGAGGACGCGGCGGTCAAGTGGATGATGCAGTGGAGACAGCGGGCCGTTCACCAAGTGAATTGCCCTCGACGGTGGCCAGAATCAAGCACACACACCCACACCAAACGCATCCATTGCTGAGCTAGGAACTCTGATTCACCAGTCATCACCCAGGCGAGCCATGAGTTGACAAGATGTTTGAAGGAGCACGGACGGCGTAGCGTAGCCAGAGGTGCCGTGTCGCACCAGGCTGTGTGAGGAGAGCGAGCACGACAGAAAGATCTGGAAGGCACCTGAACCGCGCCGAGCTTCGACCATTGAGTATTCATTCTGGGTGCCTGCAGGACGAGCGAGTTTGCGCATCGCTTTCGACCTACTTCCGGTGCATCAACACGTCAAGTCGCATGGTTGTCGCAGATGGCAAGGTCCGGTATGCAAACATCCGCAGAAATCGCTCGTCGAAGGCCATGTCTCACTTGGTTATCAAGTTGTGATGATCGTCCCAGCACCGGTAAAGGCGGGAGCTTCAATCAAGCAAGTCCATGGGAGACTTGCCTTCTCCAACTATGTCCGCATCGGAGCGAAAGAGAGTTTGATACCGAGCGTTTCCTTGATGCACTTGCGACGCCCTCATGCTGCGCAGATGAGGTTGATCTGGCATCCGGACAAGTTCGTGTAGCTGCAGGAATCCCGTTGAAGAAGCACGACGATGGCAGTCCTTCAAGCTGGTTCTTGACCAAGCCTTGCGCATGGCTGGTTGATCTTTCATTACTCGGGGTCGCGGAGCCATGTGACACCCCGAGGGCATCTCCGCGTTCCATGCGGGCCACGGTGACGCAGCCACCATGCACAAAATCTGCTGTTCGAAACCTCATGTATCTTGGATTGCGATTGTTTGAATCCGATGCTGCAGTGCTGCGAACAGAACCTCAGAATTGGGATTGAATTGGGAGGAACCAACCGAGCATGTCAAAGTGCTGGCCTCAGCTGCATAAAAAGTGAAGCAGGCGACATGCAGGTAATCGGCATGCACTCAGAGAGATGCTGTCCTGAGAAGGTTTCGAAACCTGGAGCCGGAATCGCCACAAGCGCGGAAGATCCAAGAAGCTTGGCCAGCAGCCATGCCATGGATGCAATGTGCTGTTTTCAGATGTCTTTGGTGTTCTTGTAGTCAGTGGCAAGAACCTGGTCGTCCAGCTCGTTGCGACATCTCTTTGTCGGAAGTTCTACCAAGCCATCCACCATCATCAAGCCAAGCCTCGGCGACCTGGAATGATGTCCAAGACAATATCCTGAAGCAGATGCAAGTGATTCCCCTTCATATCTACCAACGAAAGAATTGCCGGTCTCGTGGGAAATCAGCGAACAGACTACTCGATGTAACAGGGATAGACCTTGAAAGATCCATGGCGGTGCTAATCGAGTCTTAGTCTTAGTCATACTCCGGTCGACATATGTCGACATCCATGTTGAAGATCATGCCTGCATGTAGATAACTAGCATTGGTTGGAACATGGTCATCATGTGACGTACTGGTGACGCACATGAACTTGCGGGTTGCTGTTGCCGCTGTCGTGGCAGGGTGCGTTAAAAGTGGAGCCGTGGGGATCTGTGGGCTGTATGGTCCTAAAGCGAAACAGTTTCTTTATTTGGAACTATTGTTGGGGAAGATGAAGTCGCATGCTCGCGATCGCATGTGCCCACGACTCGGAGACATTGACAAACTACACGCACACACCCACGCACACGAGCACACACACACAGACACACACACACACAAACACAAACAGACACACACACACACACACACGCTGTTAAACTGGTGAACATGTCCACCACATGCCATTTAGTTTAGTTGGTGACAGTAAGCCCTCGTGATCCTGCGTGTGGACACGTGGCCGTTACGACCGAAGTGCAGCAAGAGAGCTGCCCCTTCGAGTGCCGTACGAGCACAAGCAGTTGCAGCTTAGTTCATCCACCTTTTGAAGGGTCAACGGGTTATGGCAAAGCCTGGCTCCTCGCTCCAGGCCATCAGGCGTAGTTCAATCGCAGCACGGCTGTTGTGGTGGTGCTTGGCCGACGTGGTCAGCGGTGCAGGCCTGTGGGGAAGTTGTGGCCTGAGCTCCTTCGACTGGGGAGCGGAAGCCGCGGAGGTCGCAGGGCCAGCCGCAAAGAACGGCGGGTCAAGGTCAGCAGCAGTGGCAGGAGCAATCTCGGGGCTCTGCTTTGGTCGTCCGGCACCACCACAGGGCGACTTTAGTGAGCCTCCGGCGTGGGGGGGTAGACAAGCTACCGCTTGTGGAAGAAAGCGTTGGTCCGGTGGAACCAAAACATACCAAAACACCGATGTTCCAATGTGGCGGCGCTTCGCGAAGCTCAGCAAGTAGCTAGACTGGGACCTTGAAAGCAGATTCGAGCACATCAATGAGAGGGTGCTGGCGGGCCTGGCTACTTGCAGGCGGTGCTCGGCATCCTCGACGGGATTGTCGGGGAACGCCTAGAAGAGGAGGTTCGTGAGGCCAGCGCTCTTCGAGGGTGTCCATCGCGGGGGAGAGACGTTGTCGCAGCAGCTCAAGCAAGGCCTTCATTCTGGATTAGCCAGCGGGACTCACGAGGCAGGGCAGAACCTCCGCCGAGGCATGGCTAGCATTTCATGACATGTGGATCCCGTATATGGCTACACTGAAGTTGTGATTCGCGACTCGGGTGCCGAGGTCGGGGGAAACTTCGCGAAGAACCTCGAGATGCACGCTGTGTTCCAGCATAGCACCGATGCCGAGAGTCCGTGGCAAAATGGGATTGCCGAACGACATGAAGGCGAAATGAAGAGGCGGGCGTTTCGCGAGCTCAAGGCAACTCGGTGATCTCGAGCCGAGCCGCCCTCGAGTTGCTTCTGGGCCACTTCACCACATGTAAGAACATGTGGTATACTAGGGCGGGGTATTCGCCTGCCCAGCTCGTCTTTGGAAGGAACCCAAAGGACACGTGAAGAGCTGATGTCAGATCAGGTGGCACACACCCCGGGCCGACAATTCATGGCCGCCGACCCTGTTGAGCTCGACGATGGTGAGCGTGCCTTTGCCCAGAGTTCACCGATGGGCTCGCGAGTTGATGTTCGAGAAGGAGTCCACTGAAAAGCTTCAACACATCCTCACAAATTACATATATATATATATATATGGTCCCCCCCCCCAAAAAAAAACCCAACCCAACATATCCAAAAAGTCGGCGTGAGGCCAAAAGTTACAGATATGAGGCCCCGTAGAAGCCCCCCACCCCAAAATATCCAAAAAGTCGGCGTGAAGCCAACAGTTGCCTATATGAGGCCCTGTATAAGGCCTGTGCTAGTGCACGGGGCCGAGGAACAACTTTGCGGACGAATCTGGGTTCCGAGGCCCAAGGGCGTGTTAGTTAACACGGGCCGTGTTAATTAACACGGCCCCCAGGAACCAATAACCAAGAACCAAGATTCCTAGAAAACTTTCTGGGCCAATCTTGGTTCCCAGGCTTGGGCCCGAGCCCGTGTTAATTAACATGGGCCGTGTTAATTAACACGGCCCCTAGGAACCAAGAACCAAGATTCCTGAAAAACTTTCTGGGCCAATCTTGGTTCCCGCGCTTGGGCCCATATTGACGATGAGGTCCAGGAACCAAGATTGGTCCAGAAAGTTTTCCAGGAATCTTGGTTCTTGGTTCCTGGGGGTACGGCCCTCGGGCCCAAGCTTGGGAACCAAGATTGGCCCAGAAAGTTTTCTAGGAATCTTGGTTCTTGGTTCCTGAGGTCCGTGTTAATTAACACGGCCCGTGTTAATTAACACGGGCCCGAAAATGACGTCAATCTTCTCTAGTTGAAATGTGTTGAAATACTGATATCTCCAGCACAGGTTTGTGCTACCATCACATGAGCAGTCAGCTGCGCCCGAATATGACGTCAATCTTCTGTAGTTGAAATATCTTGAAATACTGATATCTCGAGCACAGGCTTATGCTACCATCGCATGAGCAGTAAGCTGCCACTAGCGGGGAGGTGCAGTGGTAGACGAAGGTGGATGGCGGCATTGTGTTGTGGGCAGCCATCGCGACTTTCCAAAACGATCAGATGAGCAGTAGGCTGCCACTAGCGAGGAGGTGCAGTGGTAGACGAAGGTGGATGGCGGCATTGTGTTGTGGGCAGCCATCGCGACTTTCCAAAACGATCAGATGAGCAGTAAGCTGCCACTAGCGGGGAGGTGCAGTGGTAGACGAAGGTAGATGGCGGCATTGTGTTGTGGGCAGCCATCGCGACTTTCCAAAAGGATCACATGAGCAGTAAGCTGCCACTAGCGGGGAGGTGCAGTGGTAGACGAAGGTGGATGGCGGCATTGTGTTGTGGGCAGCCATCGTGACTTTCCAAAAGGATCACATGAGCAGTAAGCTGCCACTAGCGGGGAGGTGCAGTGGTAGACGAAGGTGGATGGCGGCATTGTGTTGTGGGCAGCCATCGCGATCTTCATGAACTCATAGGAGCAGAAGCTTCGTCCGTGCACCGATCGACTACATAAGCCGAATAGAGAATTTCATGCTGCAAACAGTGAGTCGGTGAACTTGGGCCATTCCGATCTATCCCATTCTCATCTACTCAATGCTGTCTGCTTCACCCACGCTGATCTTTCTCAGCGCTCAGTGCTCGGCTTGTAGTGACTGAAATCCCTGCCCGCCTCACATACAAAGCATGGCCTTACCCATGCGCCTGGCCGGTGAGATGGTGGTTCACCAAGGTGCCGCATACCTTCGCCTGGCTCCGGAAGCTGCTGCGGCGGCTGCTCCACAAGGCCCGGCGGCTGCTCCGCAAGGCCCAGACCTTGACGCGACAAAGCCACCGACTCACGGCGACATCATGAGGAATGTGAACAGCGAGTTCATCGTTCTCCACAACACTCGCCGTGGCCTCACATCGGACGAACACCGCAGTAACATCACCACCCTCCAGCGAAGCTTGGGCCTGCCCGTGGGTGTTGTCAAGGGCGGCTGGAACAAAGAAGCGGAGCATCGCTTGCTCGTGCTCTTGCGAAAAGCCAAGCGCATCCGGAACAAAGTTCCAGCCCTCATGGACGTAGCTCCAGAACCAGCACATCAGGCCTTAGAGGACGACCCCATCGAGGAGGACAACCCCATCGAGGACGGCAACCCCCCTCCAGAGAACAACGAGCAGCAGATGAAAGTGGAAAATCAGAACATGCCTGCATCATCTTCCTCCTCATCGTCGAACTCAGAGAGCTCCTCGGAAAAGGTTTCGCTCTCGGACTACGAGCGTGTCCAGATGGCCCTGGATGAAGCGGTGGCTGAGAACAATGAGTACCGGGAGGACATCTACAACAAGGACATCATCATCAAGGAGTTGGAAGAAGAGCTGCGGGTGACCAAGCGCAAACTCGCAGAGTACGAGTCGGAGGAGGAGGACAGTGACACCGACTAGTGAGTAGGCCGAGGGAACCATCAGGCGGTCTTGGTAAGTCCAAGGCGTTCTAGAGTGTGTGTTATAGGCGGCATTGGCAGGAACACGTGGCACCAAAAAAGCATCATGATGCGAGCTGCTTCATCCTGCATGCGTCGTGCTGGAGCACCACATTTTATTCCGTCTCATCGCCTGCAGGGCAAGGTGTTTTCAGCATCAGACGAAATCCTCTAGTTTAGCTTAAAGTCTGCAGCCATGGCTAACTTGTTGGACGAGGCTATGGACCAGTTCGGTGGCAAGGAGCACCAGTATGAGGCCTTATCCCTTCCGAAGTGCGGCTTTGTGCACACATCTGCCATAGAACATCCTGTCTCAGTCAGCGATTTTGTTGCTGACGTGTGCAGACGACCGGATGGATTAAAGACCTGCACCATGGCCTTTGACATTCACTGGAATGTTCCTGAGTTCGGCAATGTTGCCCGGCTGGGTGAGATCATTCAGGACAGCCGCTTAGATGAGCTACCGGAAAACATACGCCTCAAAGGCCAGCTGCCACGCGGTTCCAAATTGGGGCTTGTCGTCCACAATATGGAGGACGGCGCAATGCGCATAGTGAAGGTGTTGTACTTTGCGGACAAGACAAACATCCAGCAGATCGTGCAGCTGTGC